TTTGTTACAACAAAGTAGGTAGTTTAGTTTTTTTAAGTCAAATAATGTAATTTCAATTATAAAAAATTTTATAGAAAGTTTCGACATTGCATAGTACTCCTATAAACCACATTAGATACGTCAGCAATTAACAAAGAAAAAAATAACATGGTTTAGTCAGATACAAAAATTTTACAAAATAAAAAGGAGAATCAAATACAGAAAAATATGGGTTAACATGTACCAAAGGCAAATTAATTAGTTCTTTTCAAGATTCTGACCAGATACAGAAACACTGCAGGATTAAAAGTACTGCATTATTAACATGTGCTACAATATAATAAATACCACAACAAGCTTAAAACCTAACATATTGGGAAGAAAACTCTTATATAGTCTGCATAATTAATTGCATTTAAATTCTTAAAATATCGCAACTTCTAAATAAATGATAGTTATAGAACAAAACCTCACAGGAATAAACTTCAATCGAGACCACCAATAGTTCCCATTTAAACAGTAACAGCACAATGGTATAGGCTGTGTCATTGAGAGGCGGTAGATAAGTCCACGTAAAAATTGAGAAAACTGACACCTGTGTGTGTGCGTGTGTATACACATACATACAAATATACACACACACGATAGTCTCAGCATTCAGATGCTTACATAGCAAGCTTTTGAAAGAAAGAGGAATCCTTCCTAAAGAAACAATTATTGATATTTGTTGATACTCATCTGTAGTTAAGTTTGAAATATTCTCGTTTATGTGTACACTTAAAACAGTGCAGTAATTTTCTATTCATCCAGTCCTGGTCTTCATACTCTTCACAGTTTTAGAACAGGTGGGAACAGTGACCTGCTTTTTCAACCATAATATCCCCCAGACATGACTAATTTGAAGCTGAGCAAATTGCACATAATGGGCCAGGGATTCAAGTTCATGATTTTTAGTCGGCTGCACTCTTGTTTCAGGGCACATGGTTTCTTCCCCACCCCCTTCATCCCTGCAGCTGCCTCTTCATGAACTAAATGCACCAAATGTGAAATCAAAAGAAATTTTTTTTAAAAACTTTCTGCAGGCTTATTTTTCAGGAGGATAAAGATTAAGCTATATCTTTAAAAAAAATTTATTTTCCTTCTGGGGGTTCTTAAATTTTTAAATGAGTTCTAAATACTAAAGAAGATAGCCACCTAAGAAATCTTTTCAATACATAAGAAAAACAGATGCAAGATTTCATAATGGCTCAAAGTTTTCACAAAAGCATAGTATAATTCAGTGATTTTTTTAAATAACCTAAATTCTATCATATAGGATATTGCTTTCCAGGGCCTTTCTGCAAAATCCCATTAAAGATTTAGTAGTATACAGACACTGACACAAGAAAAACAAACAAAAAAAAATGAACACATACACACACACACAAACTTGGTTCTAAGAGGGTCACTGACGCAGGAAAGTGTTTAGGCTGGCTAATTAAAACTCGATCCTATTTGCTTTTTTTTCTTTTCTTTTCTTTTTGCTTTTTCATCTAATGTTTAAAATTTCCCCATCAATTCTGAAAGTCTGCAACCAAACACCAGTCTAAATTTCATATAAAACTAAGTACTGAAAAATTGATACAATTTTATAACTGAAAGAAAACAAACTCATTAACCTACCTGTGAGGAGACTGAAACCTATTGGTTAACTGATTTGCCTGGTCACTTTGTTATGCATGGTTTGTCATTGTTGTTTGGGGTGTTTGTTTTTGTTTTGTGTATATGTGTGTGTAGTACTTCTACCCTTAAAGTCAGGAGCTTTGCCATTCAGACCCTCCCCTTCTAGGCTGCCATGTTTCCTTTCACCTGGGACAAGAGTGATCAAAAAGGAACATATATTATGGTCAATTCAACTCTAAAATTTCACTTTCTCTCTTGGCCTCTACAGATGTATTAGAAAGGCACTTCCCACCCAGGACACCTGGCTTCTAACATATCAGTGGGACTGAGGAGTTCTCCCCAGGAGGAGGAAGATTCTGAACTTTACCTCAACTTTCCAGCCTGCAAACTGCTCCTTCATCTACTGATTCCACTTGCCCACTTTGTTGAAGGTCTATTCTTTGCTCAGTTTCATCTGCTTTCCAATTTAGAGAACTATCACTTACCTTTTGTTGACATTTATTTCCCATGTTTGGGTCTTGTAGATACCCAAGTTCCAAGATTTCTTTAACAGAAAAAAAAAAAAAAAAAAAAGGAAAGAAAGAAAAGAAAAAGAAAAATTCTCTAAATCAGCAATTTTCAACCTTTTTCACCTCATGGCACACGTAAACTAATTACTAAAATTCTGCGGCACACCAAAAATATATTCTTTGCCAATTTGACAAAAATAATAGGTATGATTTTGATTCGTTCACACTGGATGGCTGTTGTGTTGGCTGTTGTCAGTGCCCCTCACTAAATAGGCAGGTACTACATTTTAAAAATTCTTGCGGCGCACCAGTGTGCTGCGGCACATCAATTGAAAATCACTGCTCTAAATGGACAAGATAAAAGGCTAGGTCACTGTTCAAAGTGTTTAACATGGACTGGATCTGATCTTTTCAGTCTCCCAGCCAGAACTGGGTACATAGGTGTTGACAACTGGTAAAGGAGGGGAGCTAAACAGTAAATTTACACAATAATTTCCCCCAAGAAGTGTTATATCCATAGATATTTTCTTTTTCAAGGGAAGTTGGAAATAAAGCAGTTTATTTGTTGTAGAGAATTTAATTAGAGTTAGAACCTATCACTAACTTTTTGAGACTGTTACCAAGTATGGTCACTAACCGTTCTCTGGGAGAAACAATTCTTGGCACCACCAAGTCCAGAAAAACCCCTCTTTGAACATACCAATGTTCCGATCCTACTGCAACTTTAATGTCCAGCGGGCACTCCTCAGTGTCCTTGAACCATCTCCCCATTACTAAGATTCCAGAAATTATACTAATTCCAGAAGTGCCTTAAGAAACATGGAATAGCAGAGGATGGGTTCTTCAAGGCTAAGAGATCAGCTTTAGGGGGAAAAAAAACAAAAAAAAAAAAAGCAAACCACACACACAACATATACCAACCAATACCAGGGAACTATGTGTAATGGTTCGCTGCCTGTAGAAAAACCTCAAAGAGGATGAAGGTCAGGCAGGGATAATAGGCCAATTTAATCCTGAAAGCACAAGGTGCAAGAAATTTTAATTATGGTCTGCCACTGAAATCACACAAGATCCAATGGCATCTAACTGCAACTGCTCATCAAGAGAGACAAGAGGTGTAATTGTAACTGCTGCATAATCACTGTGAGGGCACAGGGAAGGCTGCCATCCGCTCCAGCAGAGAATGTATTAAGAGCCTCGAAAAATCCAATACAAGGAAACATGGAGATTGCACGTAGCTAAAGAGGAGCTCATAACAGCAAAGCCCAAGGGGAGTGCGTGTGTCTGCGTGTCTGTTTGGAGGGGGGTTAAAGGGGGAGGGTTCCAGGAATAAAAACGTTTAGCTGTTTGGCCCAAATTGAGAGTGTGAGCTTGGAAAACTCTGAACCCCCTTTCTGTGATGTGGATTCCTACACTGAGAAAGGCACGATCTCTTCTAGAAATTTCTCTCCTCGGTGAAGCTTCACCCACTCTCCTTTGTTTAAACAATTAGCTTGGATGTCCCAGTGATTTACAGAACCAGGCTCCCTTTAGTTTGTTCCCATCAACCCCAAGTCTGGAGACAAAACGCCACGCACACGATCCGAGGTGCCCAAGCCCTCCTCCCTAGGACGACTACGACACCCGCGGCGCTGACTCTTGCAAAGGGAAGTGTGTAAAAAGCCCCTCCGTGGACTTCCACTTCGCAAAGTTTCAGAAATCCGCGAAGTAAGGGAGAAAAACCTCCCAATCCGCACCGGCTGCAAAGTTGGCGCTGAAGTTTGTACCGGGATGTCCTAAAGCCCGGGGGGACGCCAGTGTGCGGAGAGGTGGGAGAATGGATGAAGATGAAGAGACAGCCGGGGGCGGGGGATAAGAGCTTTTTGAGTGGAAAGTCCACGAGACCATCTTCTTCATCCGGAAGCCTCTTTGGCTCTGAGAGGTCCAAGCCGTGCGCGCCAGGGGAGAGGTATTCGAGGGCGGACACCTTCGCCTGAGGCCCGGGGAGCTGTCACCTGCGCGGGACTCCGGCGGGGGCGGAGGAGCTTTCCAAGACGCCAGGAAGGATCTGGGGCTACAGACTCACCCGCTCTCGGGGCTCTGAGAAGTGGGGGAGGGCAGATTCGAAAGGGGGCACGAGGCCAAAAGCAACACCTTTCGGAAACGCTGTTCCCCTCCGACCTCTCCAACTTCCCGCAGCTCCAACCAAGGACTTTCTCCCATCGTACCCACCCCATCCCGCCTCCCTGCCCACCACTCGGACCTTCCGACTGCAGAGGCGCGGAGTGGAATAGGGCAGCGGCGAGGAAACGGAGGACTCGAAGGTCGGGACCCAAAATACAAACTCTCACCCCTTGGCTGAGACGGCCAAATGCGTTTACACAGGCAAGGAGCACTGCCCTGCAACAGAGCTCCGGGTTTGCGCTGGGCGCAGTTCCCCGACTCTTCTGTTGTTCCTAATAAAGTCGATTACGTTGCCCTCCGGAGCTGAATGGGAGGGAACGGAGAGAAAAAGGGGGGAACGCGGGAAAAGCAGGGGGGGCGGGGGGGCTGCAGCAATCAACTTTGTAACGCAGCGCTTCCTCGCGCGATCCGTCGCCATGCTTAAGATTCCCACCCCCGCCACCCCCTTCCTTCCTTTCAAGTGGGTACTGAAACTAGGCCAAAACTTTTTCCCCTCCTTTTCTCTTAGCCACTAGACTGGATTGTGCCCCACGGAGCCCCATGGAGCTCTGCTTTCTTAAGCACAATAGCCGGACTAATTAGATCATAGAAGCAAGACAGTGATACTGTAACAAGTAGCCCGAGAGGCAAAGAGGGAAGGGGCCGGAAAAGAGAGAAAGGGGAAAAGTTTGCAGCTCTCACACTTACCAATCAAGCCTCCCACCAGAAAGGCGATGATTTGGAACACGAGCAGAATTCCACCAACAATGCATAGCTTCTTGGTGCTCATGTTTTCTATAATTGCCCCAGCCATTTTTGCGCCCCCCTTTTTCTTTTCTTTTGGAAATAAATGTTTTAGGGTGTGCTTTTTGTTCGCTCTCCTCTCACGCTCCCTCCTCCCTCGCCTCCTGTCTGGGCGCTGCAAAACTTCAGGGGTGCGGGAGCGCGGCGAGGATGGGACCGGGACGGTAGGCGCCCGCACGGATTCCCCCGGCGCAGCCGGCTCGGGCTCCCCCAATGCCCGGAGCTGTGATTGTGGCCGCTCCGCCGCCTGTGGACGCTTAAAGGAGCAGGGAAGCGGATCACATGACGCCGCCTCCCTCCCTTTCTTCCTCCCTCCCTCTCGCGCTTCCTCCCTCCCTCCCTACCTCCCTCTCTTCCTCACCCCCTTGCCCGCCAGTGCGGGCGGGGCTCGGAGCTCAAGCCGGTGCTGGCGTCCCGCTCCCAAGTCTGGCAGGCGGCTTGTCCCGCCAGGGGCTGGTGTCGTTTGGGGGCTGATGATGTTGTTAAGTGGGCTCTCTCTACTCCGCCTCTCACGCGTTTCCTTTTCTGGTGCGAGATTTAAATCGCCCGTGGACAGCTTTGCAGACCTTTAACTTAGGCGTTGACTTTAGGAAATGGTCCCCACCCCCCAATTGCAAGAACTCTCTTTAGGAAAGAGGAGGAGAAATTTTTTTTTTTAAAGGGATCCAAAAATGCTTAAATCAGAGAACAGAGATGCGGAATCAAAGCTCAGCTCGGCTTCCTTCTGCCTGATCCCAGCCTGGGCTATTGGGCATATACCCAGCTAAATACACTCCCCCCTCCACCCGCTCAACGGCACCCCTTGAGGCACTCTGCGCCCCAGCCATCTCAGACCGCGCTGTTCTTCACCACATCATACTCCACTCCACGTGTTTTCAGAGCCTTGCCCCCGGCTCTTGTCTCAAAAAAACAACAAAAAACAAACAAAAAACAAACAAACAAAACCTCCGTAAGTTTTAAACATTTAAAAACCAACTTGTCTGAAAAACCTTGCTTATTCTCCAAACCACCTCCACGTAGTATCTCCTGTGTTCCTGTGTTTACATTCTTAGCTCCTATTGTAAGTAGTTAGAAGGACGTTTGTCTCCACCACAGGGCCTTAACTCCTGGGGGATAGGGACCGAGTTTTATTCATCTTTGTACTCCCTGTGGTGTCTAACAAAATTCTAGCTCTAGTAGGTCTTCCATAACTTTTGTGGGCTGAATAAATAAGTGAATGTGAAAGAAAGCCCACCGTTTGCATTTCAAAAGCTTAAAAGGGAAATTTAGCTTACATGGTACACATTTAAGTTGCAATGTTTGTTCTCTCTTAGTGAAGATGTATTTATATTTATACTTAACTTGTAGGAGGAAGGGGGGTGGGACTCAAGAGATTTCCTGCTCTATCAAAACTAAATTTCCGGGCCTGGTTTTTCCGTGTTTCCTAAACCGGTCAGCTGGACAGCACAATACGCACGTTGCCCAATAGACCTGGGTCTGGTAACTTCCCCTCTCCATTTCCACACACGCAGAGTTTCTGCCACCCCCCCCCCCCCCTTACACACCTAGTGTCTTGCCCTCTCCTCCATCTACTCTGCTCTGTTCCTGAATTTTCATTGCCCTTATTGAAGATGCTATGCAGGTTACACTTCATAAAGGTGTTCATTTCTGGAATTCAACTAGGTATTTTTAAGGACTAAGCTTCATGTATATATAACTCCATCTCCTTGGCATCTAACAATTCTTACCAGTTCTGGGGATATATTTGCTATTTATTCATTCTTTCCCTCAACTCTCTCCAGGCTTTCTTTTCTTGGCACTAGAAGGTGCCAAGATGTGAAGACACTTGCCCTTATCTTGACATCTGGGCTCCCCAGTCTAGCTGTTCTTCACCGAGAGTAGTGATTAGCAACCTTTACTTTGGAGAAGCTAATCACTTGGAGATCAGACAGGAAGAAGCAGAAAAAATTCTTGTCAACAGTAGTGGTCAGGAGTGTTTGGTACCCAAGCATAGTTATACCAATGTGGGTTATTTGCTTTTTTCCTTGCCAGGAGAAGGTTCCAGGGTATCATTCTTACCTCTTTTGCTAGTTAACTCTACATTCTGTGTTCTCTTCTAAGTAAGCTGCCAACTTCCACATACTTAATTAATAATGATGCCTTGGGGTAGGATTTCTTTTTTAATAACAGATTTTTTTTCTTTTAGTAAGGTTGATATGATTCAGTATCAAGATTTACTCTCCATTTGATACTACTTTTCACTATTTAGGAAGAAAGAAATAGTGTCCGAGGGACTTCAAATATGAGTTCGATCTATAAGAAATTCTTGGCTAGTTGACTTGGTTTATTTAAGATTAGTGACCTCCTCCACTCAACTGACATCTCTACAATATGAACTGCTACAACATGCTCCATCCCCTTGACTCCCAAATATACACCTTCAGAGTAACTGGCCTAGTTCTTTAAAATCTGGAAATGAGAGGCTTGGAATAAAATATTGGTTCCCCACCAAGACGATACCCTTTTTTTAAAGGCACTTATTATTTAACATTTTAATGAAAAAGGGATATTTCTCATTGCTAACCAGTGCTTCTGACTTGTATGAGACTACCAGTATTACCAAGCTGAGTTAGGGTTAGACGCACACAGCATTAATCACCATGAGCTGTTTTGTTTTTTTGTTTTTTTATAAGTTACCATTTCTCTTATGTCTTTTTAAAAATTAAAAGGACTGTCGGGTTCTTATTTTCCAAGGGAATAAAGCAGTCAAGCAGAAAAGAGCAGGAGTGTTGAGTTGGCTGGATCTGGGAGGGAGCCTCACCCCTAGCTCTGCCCCCTGCTCAGATCACAGCCACCTGCCCACTCCGAGGCTCAGTTTTTTCATCTTTAAAATGGATATAATGGTACCTAGCTGATGGTGTTCTTGCAAGATATTATTAATAGTTATAATTGGGAGCTCTTAAGGGAAATCAATAATCTTGTGTAAAAAAACGAGTAAAACTGATTATTAATTGGTTCTTTCTCAGCTCTAAAATTTTATCATGCTATAATTATTTTTGAAACATAATTTAGGAGCAGTCCAAGTGATTAACTGTAACTGACAAGGGTGCTAATAAGGCCAATGTCTAGTTTTGAACTCTGAATAACACTCAGTGAACTTTAAACATAAAAACATTCTAAAAACTGCTTCCAATCACACATAAAACACATGTTTTGGGTCACCAGGTAGATTATCCCAGAGACTGGGATAATCCAAAGGTGCAATCCAACTCTGCCAACAGAAATTAATCCTTCAGACACCATTTCACTAAACTTAGGTAGGGAATCCTGATTTACTCATTGTTTATTTGAAGGGTTTGGCACATGGGAGGTCATAATGGTGTTCAATGCATATTTACGGAATGAATGAACGAATGAATGAATATCTACCTGAAGGTGGATTAACTGCAACTCCTCCCCCCCCCACCCAACTCCCCATTCTCATATAGCACTTATTGACTAAATGCCTATCTGGCATGTACAACCTGGGTTGTAGTTTGCACCTACATTTATGTATGTGCTGTGTTGTCACCCTGGCTGGCAAGTTCCTTAAGGCCAAGGGGAGTATGACCTGAGCCTTTGTCTCTCTCACAGCCCCAGCACAGCACCTTGCACAGAGGAGGGCTCATTTTCTGGAGTTGAGAAAGCCCCTTTTGGAAGCCAAAGGCAGCAAGCATATCATTATCATCGTTGCACTAAATGTAACGTAGAGATCTAAAAGAATTGCATATACCTCCTCAAACACCTAATTTACTTCCCAGAGGGACCTTACAAGAGTAATAATCTTGCTCTGAGGCTTCTCATTCTCATAAATAGCTTTTATCCATAAATGGCATCCCTGTGGCTCCTTCGTTGTTGGTATTTTCTCATAGTTAGTGCCTGTAAATGTGAGTATGCACTTCGGGTTCACACTCTATTATTCAGTGTCATTTCTCTCTCTCTTTCTCTCCATAGATAGATGTAGATACAGATATAAAAGAATACACACACACACACACATGCATTCACAACTTTTAAATGCTTATTCATTTTTTTCCCAAAAGGAACCACCGTTCTGTTTTCTCTCTATGAGTGCCTTTGTCTTATTGTGTATGTAAATATGAGACCTTTCTGAGACCCCTTGCACAATAACCTTAAGGAGAAACTATTCAGAAATCTTGGCTGGGAAGACCAGTACTTTCAACCTGATCTTTAGATAAAATTATTTTATAAATATCCCATCACCCTCTCCCATTTTACATATCAGCACCTGCCATGCATAAACTCCATTCCACCTTTTACATTCCACATATATTTCACACATTAGGCTTATTCAGTCACAGCCTTGTCTTACTAGTTGTATATATAAATCTGATAATATACTTACCTTCTTGAGACTTCTTATTTCTTTTTCTTTTTATGATGCTCATACCAACCTTTTAAATTGTGGTGAATATTTTAAAAAGGTTACAAAGTGCCTACCATAGAGTCTAACACAAAGTGGGCACTCAACAAATGTCTTTTGCATGCTATAAAGGGGAGGTTTCTGTTCCCAAATAGCAAAGCAAAACAAAGAACTATAAATCCCCTAATTACTGTTTCTTATGAAATTGCTTCTTTGAACCCAGGCAACTTGGAAGGAACCAGTAACAAATTTATAGGTTTCCAGAGGCCTCTTGTGAAAGGCAGCTGACAACTTGAGGTAGCCAGCCAGCCTCCTGTTGTTTTCCAGGCTTGAAAGAGGCTGCAGCAGAGAGCTGGGATGCCTCCAGTGTATAAACCCCTGAGATGGCATGTGCTCAGTTTCTGGAGCAGAGGTAAATGGCCCTTTCTCTCTGCCAGTTTCCCTAGCATACGCCCAATGGGGTCTGAGCCGACTCATCCTCCTACCCCATGTCCTCATGACTGCTGTCCCCCTCCATCTCACCTTGTATTTTGTCAGCTCATAAGCGTCCCTCCATCTGCTCCTCCCCATGGGGAATGGCAGTGGGAGGAAGGCCTGAACAGGCCAAGAAACACCTGCCCTGGATAACGACCCTGTGATATGTAGACACAACCAACAAAAGACACAGTGTTAGCAGAGAAATTTTGTTGAATGAGTGAATAGATGATGAATGAAGGGGTTCGGGGAAACTCCCTTATGGATGGTCAATGGCAGAGGGACTCAGACTTAACCTCAGCCCTAGACCATCTGGGATGGGAAAAGGCCCTAACCTGGGCCAAAGCCCAATCTTTACCCCATGCTAATTGTA